AGAATCTGGTTACAATAGCTCCGCTTATAGCGTCCGTTCGGCTATTGTGACGAAAGTCTGGTAGCTAGAAAAACCCTTGCGAGTAAACTTCTACGGTTATAGCGTCTTCCACATATAACGTAGCGACGGTCTCTTGATTATCATTATCATTATCATCATGCACACTTTTATGAACCTTCGCTCTCTAATGTCTCTTTATTTTTTTAACAGTGCTTTAACAGTTGGATAGACACAGGTGAGCGCAGGATTTTTACCATATTGATGATTATCTGATACCATTTAAGCGAGTTCTTCATCTAAATTAGTTTGCAGCTTCATAGATGCCACACTAAAGTGAATTCCACACCAGTATACTTAATAAACTAGACAACTGCACAGATGCAGCATCCACAGGCAGACGTACGCCACATGTGAGCCAATCAACACAAGGAATCAAACATGCATGAATGTTTTCAAATGTTTTCAAATGTTTTCTTCTATTATTATTTTTTTTTTAGCAAAAATCAAACAGACAAGAGACAGTCGAAAATCGAGGGATGAAGTTTTGGAGGGGGATACGCATTCGAGTTTGCGTTGAAAAGCTGGCGAGGCGGCCAAGCCAAACGTCATGTTTGCTGCCAAAAATAAGCATGATTTTTTCATAAGGCCAACTCAGCTGAGCGGAATCGGAGTTGGAGTTGGAGTCGGTGAGAGGCAGCGCAAAGAGCTGACAGTGGCTGTTGTTGGCATTGTTTGCTACAACAACAGCAACAACATATAACAAATGGAGCAAATTGTGAAAAGTAGCGGCACTTACCCAAACCCTGCGGCAGCTGCACATTGACAAACTCCTTGAGCTGCGCCAATTCGAGACAATTCCACAATTGCAAATCGGAGTAATAGCAGCGCGGATCGAGATTTTCACGTATTGTTGCATTAAACAAATGCACATCCTGTGGTATTATCGACAATCTCGTTCGCAGCTCGTCTGGCCGGATTCGCTGGATGTCCACATTATCGATGCGAATGTGCCCATTTGTCGTCTCCAGCACACCGAACAGGGACAGAGCCAGCGAGGATTTGCCACTGCCCGTGCGGCCACAGATGCCAATCTGCAAACAGAGCAATCAAACAGAGATTGTAACTATATATATGTATATGTATGTTTATACATATGTTATAGAGATATAGCTGAGTATATATATCAATTGATTGGGCAAGTCAAAGACGACGGGAGTTGATTGACTCTGCTTCAATTCTAGATCACGCACATAAATAAAAGTTGTCTTAACTAAACTAACTAAAAACTTGAAGTTTACTCAAGCTAAATCGCTAAAAAAAATAAATGTTAAAATCTATAATTTATTTCAACATTTTTTTGTAGACAAAAACTTCAAAGTCAGATTTACTTAGTTTCTTTTTTTAAGAGAAATTATAAAATATATTTATTTACAGCTTAGCCCACCGCTACCTTATTGATAGCTTAATCTAAACAGAATTACTTAGTTTCAAAAAAAATATATAACCTAATGGAATTTTTTGTGAAATATTTTATATATATTTATATAGATTTTACATTTTATTAATTCTCGGAAATCCAGTCAGTTTATATTAAAACTGTATAAAACGTATTCAAAAAAAAAAAATATATATTTATATTCAAAAAACTATAATATTTACAATTTTATTTTAATTTTCTTTTCTTTTTCATTTGAAATAATTCTACATATGTACATAAACCCTAATATCTAATAGCGTTGCATATAGCATATATATAGTATGTATGTATATAATAAATGTCAGTTCATTAAATTTAAATATGTTTTTTTGATGATAGCTCTACAGTGATTTATATTTTTTAAACAAAATTCTTATTATATAAATTAAATCTTTTTTTTTTTTTTTTTGTACATAATTTTTTTTTAATATACCCTTAACTCATTTAAAATGGGAAATCAGTATATGCTTTTTTTTTTAAATATATGTAATAGGCAGAAGGAGCAATATGTTTTTTCAATCAGGGCGATAAGCTAAGTCGATTTTGCGTCGTCCGCCTGCTTGGCCCTTCATCCTATAAGACCTAATATATCCTATTTTAGTCCTGTCCATCGATAATCAGATAGGTATACATATATGTATGTAAATACACACATACATATATACGACCCTTAGTTGCTTCAACGCACTTTGACTAACGTTGGCTTTAACCGCCTCAAGCCTCACACACGATTTGCTCTGGTAGACCCAGCGAGCTCCTCCATA